TGCCAACTTCTACACCCAGGCAGGTCATGTGGTCATCACAACAATCCCGTGAGGTGGCACTACCAGCCCCATTATACAGATAAGACAATAATAATGCCTTAAGATGTTGTAATGGCGATGTATTTCCTTTCTTAATTTAAGGTGTCACATATTTTGTCTCAGACAGAAAAGTAACTAACACATCTACTAAATGTCCATTCCCAGGAGCCTTATGCTTCTCTATATTGGGTCATTAAAACTGGGTCACTCAGCAAACAGCGCTGGCACACCCGAGGCCTGGTGGATGATACAGACCTGAGCAGTAAACAGGATTCATCCTAAGCACTGACCCCACTCGGCTGCTTTCTGGGGTCACCTCTCAGGGCAAACAGATCCACCAGGGTGGATCACTGCACCAGCCTGTCCTCACGCCTCTCCCAGCCTGGACACCCACGTGTCCCTGACAGCTACTTAGCCAATGTGCCTACGGTACAAACTTCCATGAGGAAGGGGTCACCCACCGGAATGCTGGGAGTGACAGCTGAGCCCTTGTGGCCTCACCTCAGGATGTTTGCTGTGGCTTTCCTCTCCTGGGGAAGCAGGTCTGGGTCACGCAAAACTTCTTCTAACAGGTTTAGCACATTCATCTTTAGCTCATTGTTCAGTTCAAAATCCTGTAAAGTAGAACGAATCTTTTAAAGATGTTATTTCTAAAGGCATTTGCTCTGTGAATGGGATGCCATTCCTCGAGGTGAGTACTCTGGAAGGTGGGCACAGGGAGGAGTGTGCAGATCCCGGAGCCCCACAGGCTGGTTGAGTCCAGCCCCTGGCACCTCTGACTGCGTCCCCAGGGGGCGACAATGTGCAGGTTGAGATTTTCTGCTCTTGGGACAACATTTGGCAGGATCTTTACAGACTGCACAGGGCCCAAGCTGCACTCGCAGCCTCTTCTCTCCCAATGGTGTCCTAATACACATGCACACCCACACAGGCACACACACGCATACACGTGTACACGTGCACACACTCAAACACACTGTCCTAGATTTCACAATGTCCTCAGGTCCCCAGTGGATGTACTTCCCTGGCCTGAATCCTATCTTTCCTCCCCATGGTTAAGGAGGGATCAAAAGTACAAAAAACGCTTACATGTTAAAAATGACTGCACTAAAATACACACTGCCATGAGCCCTCAAAGCCCACTCCCTGCTTGCTTTGAGCACGTTTATCCCAGGGTTCTTGCCACTTGTCACAGTGGCCCTTGAAGTTGCTTTCCTGATAGTCTCTAATTGCGCTGTCCTGGCTGCCTGGTATCTGGAGTCCATTCACAGTGTTCCCCTTTCCTGGTCACTGTGGTTTTGGAGAGGAACTGGAAGCTGCGCGGTGCATCAGGTGGAAGAGGGCGTGGCCGGGCCTTCAGCACTTCTTTCTGCTCAACGGTGCTCGGCCAGGGCAGCCCCCGCATCTTGTATCACTCTTATAAAAACCCTAAGGAAAGACCACTTCCCAGTGGCTTCAGAAAGTGGCCATGGCGATGGATAACTGTCCTCACAGCAAGGCGGGGTGTCCTGAGGGGGGCTCATGGCAAGCACCTCTCTTGTGCTTCTACAGAGCACACAACTCGCTCCTATCTGAATTTACGGCAGGCCAATCGAATTGCCTGGTCCTCTCTTGCTAGGGTGGGGATTGCAGCCATCTCCGAACCAGGGCACAGGAGTTGCCCATGCCCGGGATGGGCCCGGCCGGCATCACGTGCCCACGAATGCAAAGCTTCGTAAGGTGGGAGCGCACTCCTTCCTGCTCCAGCCCCAAACGCCTAAGCTCAACTGGATCTCCAGGAAGCAGTGGCCTGTTTGCTCCAGAACAATGACACCTTGAAAGACAAAGAAACCTGAGGTGCTGTTGCAGTGGAGAGCGCACCACAAGGACAGCAGGCAAATGCGGTGGATGAACCTGCATTCCCCTGGGGCCCAGGAGGACATGCCGTGAGCAGTCCTCACCGTGACAGCGGCCAGCAGGACCTCAGGACTCGGCCTTGGGAGGGGCGCCACGCTCAGCCCTCCTGGCCTGCTCGCTTCCCTGCTGACCATGCAAGAATGGGTCCTGCCCTTGGCGGGCGGGGGAGTGCACACATCCCCCCGAATGACTCCAGCTGCGCACTAGCTGTGCCCTGTAGCGTGGCAGCTTTCTCTTGACAGTTTTCAAGGTAAAATGTCATGGGCAGAGGATCAAGGGCAGAGCATGGCCTTGCCCTCCTTCATTAAATACATTCTTACACCGTGTCGCGCGGGACAGTAGGCCCACAGAGCGGCCGTCCAGCCCACGTGTGCAGGCCTTCCTGGCGGCCCAGCGTCGATGCGTGAGGGCACGGGGGCCTGTCTCCACCCACGCGCACGTACGATGACCATCGTGATGCATTTTATCACAATGGTCACACTATTATATTATTGACTTCTTAAGTAGTTTTGAATCATTGACCTTCTAAATTCTAAATCGTTGCTGAGAACACTGTTACATGTAACACATCCGATAAGGAGACAGCCTGATTTTATTCTGTCTGATCAGTGAGGGCAGGATGACCAGTACTTCACAACGTATAGACAATGGAAAAGCCTAACCTACGCCGTTAAATATTTTTACCATCAATTTGGCAACAAATTGCACCCTAATTCTGTCACTTTCACTGTTTGATAAAAGCACCCTTTCTTGGGGATTATGTAAGAGACACTGCCCCCAGGGGGCAACACCAACATTCAATCTCTTTTCCATCCTAGAGCTCAGATAAGATGTGTCTCTGTCACTTTCTTGTCACTGGGGCACAATACCTGACACCCACAATTCGAGGGCGGGGAAGTTTACTCCATCTTCAGCGGGCTCCAAGGCAGGAGGCCTAGCAGCAGTGTCTGGCAGAGATCTGTTTACTGCATGGCAGACAGGAAGCTGGAGGGCAGCGAGGAGCCAGGGAGGAGCCGGACCCTTCCGGGCCACACCCCAAGGTCACCGTCTGCAACCAGACTCCATCTCCCAGCACCAGGCCAGCTGTAGCCTCCCGGAGCCCAGCCACCTTCTACCTCATCTATCAGGGCACAGGACTTTGGCGGTCCAGACAGGAACCCAGACAGCACGCATTCCTGAAATTTCCCTGGTTTTGTCTCACAGCTTGCTGACCTTAAAGTCCACGCAGGCAGACAGCCATCTCTTGTTGCTGCTCGCCTTACCCACCTCAAGGTGAAGGCCCAGTTTTGGCTGTGAAGGTGTTTATGCCTCCCTCTCCAGCTCCGTCCACACCACCGAAGGGTTACTTGGCTACAGGAGCCTGTTTCCTTGATAAGTATTTGATTCATGGAGTCCTGGTATAGCTCCCTCGAGTCTCTAATGATGCAAATGATCTGATTTTTCACAGACTGCACCATTAGTGTGAAGGACCTCGGGCCACTGTCCCGACCTTGCTGGGGGCAATTAGTGGCATTGCCGGGCACCTGCTGGACCCCATCCTGGGTTCGCCAGAGGTGCAGGGGTAGCTTCTGCAGGCAGTGGGGAAGGTTTTACTTAGGAAAACAGAGAACATTTTATTATCCTGAGCTCTGGGAAGATTGCATTGGGTAGCCCTTTGCAGGACTTGGTGACATTTGCCAGGAACTACAGGTGGCTGATGGCCAGCCAGAGGATAACTGAGCACAACCCAGCTGCTGACAGAGGCAAAGCCTCTGACTTGGGAGACACACAAGTCCTTTGTATGGATGGAAGTGACCTAAAGGGCCTAAAGACACTTCACATTCACCGGTGGTTCCCAGAACTACAAAAAGAAACAGCATAAGCAGGGAGAGCACCCGTCATCTAAGAGCTCCTGTCTCAGGAGGAAGGTGCCAGATACATCTTCCCTCCACATTTGGGGAGCACAGTGCCTCAGTCTCAGCCAATATGCTAATATGAATGAGCAGGGAAAGATACAAGGAAAAATATCTGACTTTTACATAAGTAGCAAAGCAGATTCCTAGAAACTGTTGACCCAGCCACACCTCTTCTGGGGGTCTCCCCCCCCCATGAGCTAAGGACAGCATGTCACAGTCACCAAAGCAGCACAACTCATAATAGCTAAAGCGTGGAAGCAGCCCGCATGCCCAAAGAAGGATAAACTCGTGTCACACGTGAGAAATCCACCTCAAGACCGTAATACTGAGAGAAATAAACCAGGCACACAAGCTGGACACTGTGTGGCTTCTCTTATCTGAGAAACCCAAGTATAAATAGTTGAGAGAGCAAAATAAAGGGGAAAAGTAGGAGGCAGTCAGGTGGACTTCTGGAGACCGTAAGTGTGGGGGAGGGTGGCCTCGGGCCTGAACCTGAGCCACGGGCAGGGTGGACAGGGCCACTCTGCTGCACACGGGGCGTTCCGTGTCCCAAGCACGCAACACAAACCGAAGAACGGAAAAGACAAGCGGCGAGAGCAGCCTCACTCTTACACGGCAGCTCCGGAAATCAGCTGGAGAGATGTGGCGTGGGGGCTCCGAGGCGGAGGCACCGCGCAGAAGCGCTGTCCCAACAGGAATCACTGGGCAGGTACACGTGGCATGGAGGACGCGGCTCAGCAGACACCACCCCGACCGCCCCGCAGGTGAGCAGCGGACCCCTGAAAGCAGCGGGCACGCAGCCCCCGGACACCTGGGCCAGCTGCTCGTCGCCGGGCGCCAGGGCCCGGTGCATGTCTCAGAACCGAGGGTTTGTCCAGAGGCCCTGTTCTCCATGCGGCTTCCAGCCAGGTGTCTCGTGGGTGAGGCTCGCTGCCTCCAAGACAGCCGTAAAATGCGGAGGGGAAGGGGCCTGCATCTCTTGGCCTGAGCGCGCCCACAGTGCGAGGCCGCCCCGCGAGGCCAGCTGGGGGGTGAACTCCACCATGTGATGCGGGAAGGCGCGGAGGGGAGGAGGAGAGCCGACAGGGGGCTGGGAACAGGCGGGCAGCACCAGGGGTGAGCCCAGAGAGGCTCTGTGCAGACTGGGCCACGAGGGGACACTGGGAGCCCAGGGTGGAGAGTGAGCAAGGCAGGCCACCGCAGCCAGGACGTGGGCTGGGCAACCCAGGAAACCCAGGGGGCCAGCTCCCTCGTGGCCACTTCACAGGGACAGTGACGTCCGCGGGCCGATGTCCAGAGACACCCAGGCACCCAGGACTGCCATGGGGAGGCGCGTGAGGGGCAGGAAACGCCCCAACACTGTCTCAGACCCACAGGACGGCAGTGGATCCCATGGGTGCTCTTGGGGACCTCTCTGTGGACGAAATTCGCGGAAGGCAAGAAGCCCACAACGTCTACAGGGAAAACTGAACTCGAGCTCAGAAGCCAATGGAGAAGCAGGTAAGGTGCGGGAAGGCCCTGGCTTCCCGGGGCTCCCCTCTGCTCCACCCTGGCCTCCCCTGTGACAGGTTCCTCTCCAGAAGGACAGACGTCTATATGTTTGTGGGGGCCGAACGCGGGCCCACGGCTGGAACACAGCACTGCCCCCGGGCGGGCAAGCTTGCCTGGTGGGCCCGCGGACCCTCCTCCCAGCTCAGGTGCCAGGATTCACCTCCCTGGAAATGCAAGCATGGAGGTCGCTCGTCACCGCCCGAGGCTGCCCTCTAGTGCCAGAGAGGTGGAAGAGGACCAGGGCAGGTGGGCAGCCTGAGCTAGCTATACTGTTGCCCAAGCGGGGGCGACTGAGCCCCTGTAGAG